TGGCGTCTCCACCATCCAGTCTGGCTACGACATCCCCCAGCTCTCTCAGTGAGTACTGCGGTTGGTCCTTCAATTGTCTCTCTGGGGGTCAGCTGTCACTTGTGTTGGGACAGCCAATTGGCAAGTTTGTCTTACTTCTTAGAAGGCTCCAGGAAAGCTTCTCATTTTCCCATTTATCCCACAGCTCCTTGCAATCTGGTCTTTGCTTCTATACCTCCAGTGAAATTTGTCTTCCAAATTAACAATGACCGCTCGATTGCTAACTTTAATGATCTTTTTACAATCCCCAGTGCCCCCTGTACCTAGTACTGTGCTTAGCATAGAGGATCTCTTTAATAAATGCTTATTGATTGATTGATCTTCAGCATTTCTAAGTATTTGATGCTGTTGACCACTCCCTCCTTCCTATTATTCTTCCCTCCCTTGGTCTTTTAAATCTCCTGGTTTTCTCGCTAACTCTTTGCCTACTCTGTCTTATTTGTTAGATCATCCTCATCTTCCTACCCATTAAGTGAATGTGTCCTTCAAGGATCAATCCTTGATTCTTTTCTTTCTTTATTTTTCTATCTCATCCATTCCCCAATGATGAATTATTACCTCTGTACACATAATTCTCCAATTTATCTAGCCAACCCCAATATATACATTGAAGTATTACCACTGCACACATAATTCTCCAATTTATCTAGCCAACTCCAATATTTATGTTGAATTATTACCTCTACACAGATAATTCTCCAGTTTATCTAGCCAACCCCAATATTCCCTTTGATTTTCAGTCCTTCATGTTGAATTCCCTTCAATGCCAAAATTAAACACATAATCTTTCCCCCAAAACCTGCATACCTTCCCAACTTCCTTCTTTCTACCTATAGCATTATGATCCTCCAAGTCACTCAGCTTCATAAAGCTTGGATTCATTTCTGACTCTCCTCTCTCCCTCCTCCCTCACATCTAATCATTTTCCAAGTCTTGGCATTTTTATCTCAGCAATCTCTCTCTATCCCCACCTTTCCACTCACTCAGCCTCCACCCTGGTCTAGACTATGAGAATGGCCTCCTAAAGGACCTCCCTGCCTCCAATTCATCCTTTATCCTTCCTCACATCATACCTATACATTTCATTCTTCTGCTCAATCACTTCTTACAAATAATACTCTTGGAAGAAAGTTGGGAGTGCAGCTAGTTCCCCTTTCTGGTCAGCAGACCTTGGAACTTTTCAAACAAATGACTAACAGAAAACCCTACTTAGTCAAACTCTAGTCAGGAAGCAAGGATTGAAAACACAATTCTTAGCAATAACTCTAAAGACACAGACACACATTCCTGTGAAAAGTACAGAATGACCGAGGCCCTGTTCATCTGCTTGTTACAAAGCTACTCAACCACCCAGTGGGCTGGAGGGTAGTGGCTCCTGACCCCCCTGGCCACCCTCTGAGCTTCCACGCTCTCTAATCCAGCTGCCAAAGGAGAGAGAAAAGCAAAAGGAAGAGAATGAAATACCTGCATGCATCTTTCACCTGCCCTCTGACCACTCCTTGTCCTCTAGTCATGATAGAATACCCAAAGTACCTTCTGCATTCTGTGCATACTACAGCTCTTGGTGGGTTCACTTCATTTATGAGGGGCTAATAAAGTTAGGATCCATAGGGTCTAACCCTGTGAATGGAAAGCTGCCTCCTCAGACCAGTCGGTGGTCTGCTCCCTCTTCCAATATTTGTCAGTCTGTTGAGGAATTGAAAAAGGGAGGGTTCGTTATTATTTCTGAATTCCTAATAGGTGGAAAGTAAGGAAGTGTTAATTAATCATGAACGACCACTTCCTTTATTTTTTCATGGGTTGTTTTTTATTTGTGTTTTCTTTTACAACATGACTAATATGGAAATATGTTTTGCATGATCGCACATGTCCAACCTATATGAAATTGCTTACCATCTCGGGAGAGGGAAGGGGAGGGAAGGAGAGAATTTGGAAATCAAAATTTAAAAAAATGAATGTTAAAATTGTTTTTACATGTAATTGGGAAAAAGAAAATATTTATAAAAAGAAAAATTTAAGAATTACAATATTGCCATGGATAGTTAAGAAAATACTTTCTTTAAAAATAAAAAGAAAGAAAGAGATTAACGTCTATGTTTGTGATTTAAAGCCCTCAAGAGGCTGGGTCCAACTTACTTTTCCAGGCTAATTTCACACTACTTCTCTTTATCTGCCCTACATTCCAGCCAAACTAAATAAAGAACCAGCTGTTCCCCACTTTCCCGTTTCCATGCATTTGCACAGTTCTGCCTTCATACCTGAAATGCCTCTACATCTCTTATGTGTTGAAATCTTTCTCTCCTTCAGAGCTCAGCCCTGGTACCATCTATTACCTGACCTTTCCCTGATTTCCCCAGCTGAAAGTACATAGTAATGGCACTTACTTGTTAATCAGAATTGAATTGAATGGGAGGCTGTCCCTCGCAAGGGTACAGGAAATAAACACCAGAAATCACCATTAATTCTGTTCTCCACACTAGGTATCTGGACTTCATCCACGTCATGACCTATGACTTCCATGGCTCGTGGGAGGCCTACACTGGAGAGAACAGCCCCCTGTACAAAAACCCCAGTGACACCGGTGGCAATCCCTACCTCAATGTGGTGAGTGAAGCCCCTGTGTAGACTCCAAAGAAGACTGAAGAAAATCACCAGGTTGGGGCACAAAATGCACTGTCAATCAGCTCTCTGATCAATTAATCAACTGAATATTTCTAATACACAGCAAAGACATTCAATTGTTATGCTGGGGAAACTGATCAATTCATTAGTGATTAACTATGTGATGTCAAGCTTGTGAGTACCATGAGCACCACCCTCACTCCTGCTACTGGAGGCAGCTCGGTGACACAGTAGATAGAGCCCTGGGCCTGGAGTCAGGAAGACCTCCAGCCTCAGACTCTCAACCATTGTAGGACCTAGGCAAGTCACTTAACCTCTGTTTGCCTCAGTTTCCTCTACTGTAAAATGGGGATTATAACAGCACCTACCTTGCAGGGGTTGGTGCTCATTCGAGGATCAAATGAGATGATATTTGTAAAGCTCTTAGCTCAGTGCCTGACACATAGTAGGTGCTATATAAATGCTTACTCCCTCCAAACTAGAGAAAGGGAAGAGAATAAGGATTTATACAGCACCTATGATGTACTAAGTGCTCTACAAATATATAAGCATTTATACATTGCCTACAATGTGCCAGGCACTGTGCTAAGTGTTTTACAAATCAAATCTCATTTAATACTACTACTGCTACTACTAACTTATGTTTATATAGTGTTTTAAGGTCTTCAAAGCACTTCACATATCTGCTTTGTTAATTTGACTGTGTCAGGTAGGGCAGTAAACTAATAATTAAGAATCTGACTCCTGGATGAAATAAATATTCGTTCATCCATTCATTTATTCAACAATCACTTATTAAATTCCTATTGTATGAGAAATATTGGATTGAATGCTGAGGAAGGCAGGAAAATAAATTTTAAAAATTTCTTTGAGGGTAGATTCTCAAAGAGCATATAACCCTAAAGAAGAAAAAAAGACATTTCTCTACTCATTACAATACAATTAAGTATAATTAATTATAGTTATTAATTCTATTTAAACATGGTTAACTATTATACAAAACACAATATAACATGCTTAAGAGAAGTACAAACTTCTTGGTAGCAGACTGTCACTCTGGCCACAGAGAATGTCTGAAGTTCTCATCTGGAGACTATAGGAGAGCAAACATTCATCACGGAATCATGTCCTCAAACCTGCCAGGCCAAAACTTACAGCCCAGTTGTTATTAACTGGGGAGTAACTAGGGAATTCTTCAAGAAAGATGAGGTATTTGAACTGAGCCCAGAAAGATAGACCAAGTTTAAATGCGCTTCCATTGCAGGATTATGCTATGAACTATTGGAAAAACAATGGCGCCCAAACTGAGAAGCTCATCGTTGGATTCCCAACTTACGGACACACCTTCACCTTGAGCAATCCTTCTCAACACGGCATTGGTGCTCCTGCCTCTGGCCCTGGTGCTGCTGGGACCTACACCAGGGAGGCTGGCTTCTTGGCTTACTATGAGGTAAGTGTCTAGAAGTTGCATAAAAAAGGGGAAAGACTATTGTTGACTCTTCTACTTCTGAATAGAAATGTAAAGGGTTGCATATTCCCAGTGATGCTTAGCCTTCTTACTCTGTCCCATTTTCCTATAATTCAAAGCAGAAACTAGGAGGGAAAAATCATAGATCTAGACCTAGGAGAGACCCCAGAGGCCATCTAGACCAACCTCTTCATTTTAGAGAGAATGAAACTAAGAATCACGTGAATTCTTCACGTCACACAGAAAGTAAGTATCAGAGGCGAGCTGTGAACCTGGCTTCTCTTACTGTCTTTCCATGGTACCACACTTCTTCCTGTTGTTCCTTTGTGTCTTAGAAGGGCACTAGAAGGCCAGAAAAATCTGACTTTTAGATGGACCCTCACCCAGGCCACACAGAATATCTGAAATTCTCATCAGGAGACTGTAGAACAGCAAACATTCATCATGGAATCTTTGTAAATTTATAGTCCTACAAACTGCCAGGCCATACCTTACCCAGTTGTATAGGATGATAGAATGTTACATTTGGAAGGAATCTTGGAAATCATCTATCTGGACCAGAGGGTTCTTAACTTTTTTATACTATGAACAGCCTTTGGCAATCTGGTGAAGTCTATGGGCCTCTTCTCAGGGTAATGTTTTAAGTACTTGAAGGAAATGCTAAGTTCCAGTTAAAGGTTGATAAAAATAAAAATGCAATTTTTTCCTACCCCAAATTCATGGACCCTCTGATATATCCCAGGTTAAGAACTCCTAATCTAGACAAATCCCCTTCTCTACATCTTTCAATATTTTCCTTATAATTACTGAAAATAAATGATCCAAAATTTGTTAAAGAATTAGAATCCTGATGTGAAATGTTCACAGATAGGATTACATGCACTCTCCTTGAAGTCATTTTCACTCAGCCCCTTTCCTGAAAACTTTTCTCAACCTCTCTGCTATTCTCTTTTCTCAGATCTGCCTCTTCCTGAAGGATGGTGCTACTCAGGTGTGGGATGATTATGGGAAAGTTCCCTATGCTTACAAAGGCAATGTGTGGGTTGGTTATGACAACCCCAATAGCTTCCAAATTAAGGTACAGTATTTCTCTGAGCTCCCTTAAGTCCATTCATCTCTATTTGGAGTCCCAAAATCTTAGGAGAATCCAGGAGGGCCTGGATCAAACATCTGTCCTGCCCCCACAGGCTGACTGGCTGAAGAAAAATAACTTTGGAGGTGCCATGGTCTGGGCCATTGATCTGGATGACTTCACTGGGACTTTCTGTGACCAGGGAAGATACCCCCTGATCAATACCTTGAAGAAAGCCCTGGGTCTGGAAAGTGCAAGTAAGTAGGAGCTGTAGATGTGCCCAGGGTCCCAAAATGCCCTTTATCTACTTCCCACACCCTATAACACATGAAAGATAACTCAAATAATCAACTGCTAAACATCTACCCCCATTCTTCTGAGAATCAGATCTTCACATCTGTCCATATCCTGGCATTGTAATGTCAAGAACACAGCTTACGGTGTAAGTGGAATCCAGTGATGGACTAGGTGAAAAAAATGATCAGATTTGTTGACTTTGAACAGTTGTAAGGTAAAATGATGAACCGTCATGGGTTGGATTTATGGGGACACAGACCTAGAGCTGGAAGTGACCTCCAGCATCATCTAATTCAACCCCCTCGTGTTACAGATGAAAAAGAAATTGAGGCCCAAGGAGAAAGAACACTGGCTCTGCAGTTGACTGTCCTGTATTCCAATCCCACCTCCAGCATTTAACTACATGCTTGACCTTCAGCAAATCATTTAACTTCCCTGGCCCTCAGTTTCCTCCTCTGCAAAACAAGGGAGTTGGAATAGCTGGATTCTTGTTATTTTTTAATCATTTCTTAAGTGTCCAACTCTCTGTGTTGCTATTTTGGGGTTTTCTTGGCAAAAATAGTGGAGTGGTTTTTCCACTGCAAACTCATTTTACAGATGAGGAAACTGAGGCAAACAGGGTGAAGTGACTTGCCCAGGGTCACACAAACAAGTGTCTAAAGCTGGATTTGAACTCATGAAGAGGAGCTTTCCTGATTCCAAGCTAGATTTTTTAGGTCCCTTCAAACTCTCACTCTATGTTCCTATATGGTATAGACATGACTTGCCCAAAGGATAAAGCACTTTTCTTATAACAACAAGATGGTGAAGGGATAAGAATACTGGAGGTGGTACCATAAAAACTGGGTTCAAATCTAGAATCTACCACTTATTTTCTGTGTCACCTTGGGCAAGTCCCTTAAGATCTCTGAACCTCAGGGGTCTCATTGACAGACGAGATGATCTTTCTGGTCCCTTCCAGCTCTAAATCTAGTTTCCCATGACTTGTGTGAGGTAGGTAGTACAAATACCATTGTTTCTATTTTACAAATATTCTCAGCCATAATATACACCATAAATAATCTTCTTTTCATAATAATAGGATCATGACTCAGGAGTCCGAAGGGATCTTAGAGGTCATTTAGTTCAGCCCCTTCATTTATAGAGGCAGAAATAAATTCTATACCCAAAGAAACCATCAGAGACAGGATTCAAACAAAGCTCCTCCTTCTCCAGAGTCAGTGAATATCCCCTTCAGCCATGCCACCTAACTAGGACTTATGTGATACTCGAAGTATGTTATCTTTATTTTTCATATGTTCCATATCCTTACAACCATTACAATGGTTACATTAATTACAGTACAATCCTTACAATCATTTTCTTTTTGTAGATAGTGCAATTTTTACAGGTTAGGAAACTGAGGCTCAGATAAGTTATAAGTGGCTCTCCTAAGGTTACAGAGCTGCAATTCAAAATCCAGGTAACCTGACTGTCCACTCAATGCTCAAACCTCTCTTTCCCCAGTGCCATGAGCCTTTGTTAAGTCCACAGTGATTTTCTCCTCTTATGTTCCAGGCTGTCCCTCCTCAACTCAACCAATTACTCCAACCACATCAGCTCCTGGTGGCTCAGGTGGGGGCAGCTCTGGGGGCAGCTCTGGGGACAGGGGATTCTGTGCTGGCAAAGCCGATGGTCTCTACCCTGTGGCCGGTAACAGTAACGCTTACTGGAACTGTGCGAATGGCATAACCTACCAGCAGTACTGCTCAGCTGGACTAGTCTTTGACACCAGCTGTCAGTGCTGCAACTGGGCATAAACTTGACCTTCCTTTCCTTTTCCCATTCTCCTGGCTTAATAGCCTTTGCTTATAATGTACTAATAACTCTACAATAAAAACTGCAATGAAAACCCAAATGGTCTCAGTCTTATGTAACTGATGCAGAAACATTTTAGGTGAGAGTGTTGGTATGGGGCAGATGTTAAAGATTCCATGGGCAGATCCTTTGGGGTATATGTGGGTAGGGACAACTCGATTTTGTCCTGAAGCCACAGATGTGATAACAGCTTATATTTACAAAAACTCAGTGATCTTCTAGAGAACAGAGACCTGTCTTTTGCCTTTCTTACTATCTCCAGGTCCTAGAGCACAGTGTAGGCACCACACAAATGCTAATTTCCTGATTGACTGAGATAGGGAACAAAAGGACTGTTATTCCCATTTACAGGTGAAGCCATAGAAAGTCAGGGATTCATTGACTTGACACAGGGTATATGGCAGATCTGAACTCAAATCTAGGTTTTTTGACTTGAAGTTAAGCACCATTTCACCATGCTCCCCATGTTCTACGCCAACCCATTTCTTGTTCAGCCTTGTGGTTATTTCAAGGTATCCAGAAATCCTCTATTCCAGAGTCACTCATCATGTCCTCTCCCTAATCATCTGAAACCTTTCTCTGATCACTTTTCTCATAAGGTGATAGATGGAAGACCGGAGTTCATATGTGATCTCAGACACTTACTAGCTGGATAACCCTGGGCAAGCCATTTAACTTCTACTTGTCTCAGTTTCTTCATCTGTAAAATGGGGGTGATAATAACACCTACCTCCCAGGGTTGCTATCAGATGAGATATTTGTAAAGTTTTTAGCACAGTGACTGTCAAATAGTAGATGTTATATAAATGTTAGCTCTTATGAAGAGGGAGAGAAACACACAGACAGAAAGAACCAAAGTCAAAGAGAAAGAGACACAGAGACATAGCAACTTGAAAGGAGAGAGATAGAAAGTCAGAGACAACAAACCGGGAGGAGAGACAGAAACTGAGAAGAGATACATAGAGAAGATAGACATAGACGAAGACTGAGACGCATTCGCCTGACTCTAAAGACATTGTAAGGAGTTTAAAAAAAAAAGGAGCCTTCTTTCTTGTTTAATGTCTAATGTGGCTTTTAACTCCAGGCCAATCCACACTTCTGGTGTCCCACTAGCCAAGACAAAGTCTGGAGGGTTACAAATAGAGTGAAATCTTTGCTCAAGTTGCAAAATCTAATCAGCCCCAGTATCCCTGATCTCTTATTTCAATGTTGTATCTCCTAAATACTAGCTATTATTATTATTATTTGGGCAGCTAGGTGGCAGAGTGGATATAGTAATAGGCCTAGAGCTAAGAAAACCTGAGTTCAAAATCAACCTCAGATACTTACTAGCTGTGTGACCCTGTTTGCCTCAGTTTCCTCATCTGAAGAAGGTGCTGGAGAGGGAAATGATAAACCACACCAGCGTCTTTGCCAGGATGTTTCCTGCCCCACGAAGGGAGGATGAGTTTAGGAGAAAAGATGATAAGCTTGGTTTTGGATAATTGTCTAAGAGGTCTCCAGGATGTCCAATTTGAAATGTCCAATAGGCCGTTGATGATGGAGGCCTGAAGCTCCAGAGATGGGAGTCAGATATAAAGGTCTTTGGAGTCATTTACTGAATGGATGATAGCCAAACGCATAGGAGGTGATGAATACACAGAGAGAGGGAGAAAAGAGCTTAGGACAGAATTTTGGGGAGCAGCCACAGTTAGGGAACTTGACATGGATGATGAGCCAGCAAAAGAGAGTGAGGAAAAGCAGTCACATGGAAGAAACAGAAAAGAATGGAGTCCAGAAAAGAGAGGGGTTTCGATTTATTAGATCAAAACCTTTGTGGGTTCTTTTCCAACAGGGTGTCATCCATCCATGTATTAAAATCACTAAAGATCTTTCCAAAAATGTAGCAGAAATAACCCTACCAGATGACTCTCTGCTTATAAACAACAGGTTAGGAATCAAACTGAGACCTATCTACACATTGTGATGAAGGAGATTCAGCAAAGAATCCAAGAAGAGGGTTTCCCTGAATGTCTTTCATCTTTCCTCCTTTTTTGTTTTGTCTTGTCTTGTTTTCCTTCATTAAGACAACCATTTGTTACTATTCTGATCTCACTAAATTCTGAATAAAATAGGTGTTTCCACATACACAGCAGAAGAGAAAGAAAAGATTGTAGAGGAAAGGGGAGGTTTCTTTCCCCAAGGACCCCCTTGCCTTCCTCTTCCATAGAGAACATCACAGGCTTTTGGGACAAACTTGGTGCCTTCTCAGACATCTAATCTATGAAATTTCAGGAATACAGGCAATTAGGTAGCTTTCTTGTGGCAGGCTGGACCAGCTTTCACCAGAAAAGCTCCTGGAGAGGGTTCCAAAAGGCTAAAGGTTTTGGGGACCAGGGATGAGAATGAGCTATTCTGTGGCCTGAACAGCATCTTTGCTCCTCAATAACTTCTGAAAATTCTTATAAATTTATTTTTTCCATGTACATAAGTGTCCTTGGACATGTTAGAATCCTATATTAAGAGCTGAAAGGACCTTAGAAGTCATTTACTTCAAACCTCATCAGTAAATTCCAAAACGAGCTGCTTTTCTATGATTCCCCTTTGGTGTGCAAAGATCAGAAAGGCAATGGAGGAGAGAGAAAGGAAGGTCTCTTTGATACAGGGACTTC